CTGGCTGTGGTACCCGCAGTCCCCGGCGCCCTGCACGCAGCGCCCCCTCCTGGCTGTGCGGGTCTTAGGCGAAGGGGGCTGAGAGCATCACCTCCGAGTTTCCAGCGCCACCCACACCCCTGCAGGGGTTTAGCTGGGAACGGAATTGGGTGGGGGATATTGTAAGGTGACGCTAAGAAGTGAGTCATCCGCTTTGAGTTCTGTCCTGGCGTTTGGGACCAGACTGAGCTAGGGGATCCGCTCAGGGAGCCGGAAGGGTAGGGTAAAGGAGAGGAGGGTCGGGGTAGGGGTGTCGAAGGTTGTGTCGAAGGTGCCAGGACCTTTTGACTCCTCCATTCACCCTCCTTAGCCTTCCTCACCCCTGTCCCTGGGAAGGTTGAAAGCTTTGTCTTCAATTCTTATTTTCTTACACTCAGGACTACTTTGGTGGGTTTGAGGAAGGGGCTGCAGGCTGCAGCCCCCCCTTCCAGCATGAGGGCTGAGGGGTCTATGAGAAGCCCCGCCCGATCCGTGGGAGGAGGGTTGTGTGCGCTTGGGAGAAAGGAGTTGAGGGTTTGTGGCTATCTTCCGCCTGCCCATGTGAGTGAGAGTTTCCCACATACGCGTGGGAGGCTGTGGCTTGGTGTCGGTGTTTGCCAGGCCAGTGTGGCCAGTTGTATGCATCTGTGTGGTTTCTGGGCCCTTCTGGGTGTGCCAGTCTCCTGGAGTCTTAGGCTTTTCGTCGGTTGTTCCCACTACCTGGAGGGCCCTTCCCCACATCACCCTTTGGCTCACCCTTTTTACCTTCTTCAGTGTGTGAAAATGTAACACCCCCTCATTCCATTACCCTTTCCTGTGGTTGCTGTAGCAGATTACCACAAACAGGGTGGCTTAAAACAACAAAAATGTACTCTGGAAAAATCTTGGAGGCCGGAAGTGAGAAATGAAGGCGTTGCCAGCACTGGCTTTCCCTACAGGCGCTCAGAGGGGAGAATCCCTTACTGTGCCTTCCAGCTTCTGGTTGGCTCAGGCAGTCCTTGGCTTATGGCTGCCTCACCTTATCCTCTGCCTTTGTCTGTACATGACCTCTCTCTCTCTCTCTCTCTCTCTCTCTCTCTCTCTCTCTCTC